TCCACAACCCACTATTCCACCTCACCTTCTGGCTACTCGTCATCATCTACCTCCTCTACACACTACTCTTCCCCCTGGACCTCCTTCACATGCTCTCGCATTGGCGCCTCGCCTACACCCACCACCTCCTACCACTGCATCTACTCGCCGACAACATCCCCGCACCTCCTACATTGTACTTCAAACCGTAATGTAATATTCACTCCACTACTACCATCCATCATATAACTACAACCTCCTCTCAGCAATCAACCTTTTCTCACCTTCTGGCTACTCGCCATCATCTACCTAGCATACTCACTAACAATACCACTCGACGTTCTACACCTACAATCACACCTACGCACTGCCGTGCTCACACCACTAGTACTACTCACCAACTACACACAACCAAATGATATCACCTACTCACTCCACTACTACCATCCATCATATAACTACAACCTCCTCTCAGTCATCAACCTCTTCGTCACCTTCTGGCTACTCGTCATCACCTACCCAACACACTCACTAACAATACCACTCGACATTCTACACCTACAATCACACCTACACACTGCCGTGCTATTACCACATGTACTACTCAGCAACTACACACAACCACATGACATCACATACTTCAAACCGTAATCTAATACTCACTCTATTCGACACCTCACCTAATCACTCCACAATGTCATCAACTACGCCTTCAATCCACACCAACAATTGCGGCCAACCCGGTTTCCCCATCCCCCCTCCAAGCTTTTCTATGTGACTGTCTTACACCATTTCAATGCGAATCACTTAAAAATCAAAAATGTAACAAGAATGGTCAACTGGTGTCCAATAATAACGTCGCTGTGTCTTACTCTTCGCATATTTCCCATCGCAATTTCAATCAATATTGCCCCGTCCCAATGGGATTCAACAAAGACTATCTTCCTTCGTCTCCTCGCACGGGTCACTGTATCCATGAGATACTACATTACTTCACTCAAAACAAAAATCACCATATAAGTCTCTACAACATATTCATATGTCTAATATGCACCAGCCTGCGCACCCCCCGTACAGTCGGCGATCTCTTTGGGTTTTTCTTGTATCTTGGTGAGATTATGAATAAAGGTGGTAGTTCCCCTAACGTCGCTCAGGCCATTGAAACTGCAAGTCAAGACATGCCCCAAACTCCCGATACCAATGCCATCACTGACGCTCTCAAAACCCTAGCTGGTAAAAAACACACCGGTGCCTCTCATACCGATAACCACAGCTCCGATGCCGACCTCCGCAGCCTCTACGACAGCAATTGCACTACAGGCAAAACCTGTGGCCAATACCTCTTCCCGCTTTCTTTGTTTATCTATTCCATCATCTCACCATTTTTCGCTATGTCCTATCTATCACGTATTGTGTACCTCACGGATGTCCTCAAAGATGGTCTTGAAGAGTTACTAGAAGACTTCAACAATCTTAAATGTGACCACTGCGATAAACAAAATCAATGCTCCGCCGGTTGTCATGGCAATCCCGGAAAATGTCACTGTTTAACCATCGTCCAATGCCACAATGTCCTACCCCTTTTCTTCAAATACGGTTTTGTTTTCTACAGCGCGAGATCATTGAATGGAAAAGGTGAAGACAAAGGCAAATCCAAACCCGAGTGGCTCCGCCAATGCGAAGCATTCTCCAAAGAACTACAAAAAGTCATCAACAACGAATTCACCAAACTCATCGACGAAATCAACAACTTCCTCACCTGCATCCGCCAACCCTTCCTCCTGTACCTCCTAACATTCTGGCTTGTAGCCATTCTATACTTCACCTACGGACTAACAATACCTCTGGACCTCCTCCATATCCGTTCACATTGGAGACGCGCTTTGTCACATCAAATATCGGTGTTGGCGTTATTATCGAAGAAGGCAATGTCACCAACAAAGGTTGGATATTTCACACCGTAAGATGTCATCACATATCAATCTAATGTCATCAAATCTCTGTTCGTGTGTATTGGGCAGATTGATGGTTTCACAAGAATTTCATGTTCTACACCCCCTTCCGCATGCACGGCACAGATATTCAGATAAGGTGTGTGGCTAGCTACCCCATCGAAGATGTGTGGAGAAACACACTACATGGTAGACATCGTAGTGAGGATGAAGACATACAAATAGAACCGTAGGTGAAGTCTGTTGTTGTGTTAAGGCGGAAGACGCCGAGGTTGGATACAATCTATTATGACACTATCGCTACTGGCACTCTAAACAGAACCAGTGTGACATCGACAAGTGATTGAACTAATGTATTTAATTAGTCACGGCACTACCTATGGGTAGTACATCACACGATAGTTAATGATGACAAGAGGTGAT